AAAGAAAGAAAGAAAGAAAGAAAGAAAGAAAGAAAGAAAGAAAGAAAGAGAAATTGAATAATAACAATGCACATTGGAACACGAATCCCACAGGGTAGCTCATATAAGTTTGTCAATGTCTGCTCCATGTGGGTGACACAGCCTTTGTATCTCCTCCCTAAGGTAACTTTCACAATAATATACTGTATTTTTAGCACATAAGAAGCAAGGACCTGACAGTTGGAAGTCCATATAATATATTCAGTCAAAAGTTAACCATATCAATAGTTCTGCAATGGTGAAGAAAAAGGTAAATACGCAGCAGAGGACCTTTTTGGAGGAAGAAATTACTGTCACACTCCAGTACATCATTTCCTGAACTGAAGTCTAGTTTGAAGAGCATTGCATAGACTTACTGGATGACATACTAAGCAAGAGAGTGAATGGGGCTCTCACACGTCCTGGCCTGAGAATGCTGCCTTGGTGACTACGAAGCTAGCTAGATCTATGCTGACTTGGTGACTAGGAAAATCGTTTGGTTAAACTCCCTTTTGAGAGCCACTTCACAGATCTTACAAGCTGTATAGCTCTTATGTTTTAAGGTAAGCAACACTTATAGACAGTGACTAAGTTTGGTACCATTTCTAAACATCTGAATACAAACAGAACAATTTCCAGTGGCCAGATGTTTGAAACTAGGTGAAACTTTCAGATAATTAAGTGTTTAGCTGCCATCCAGATGTGTTTGCTAGCATCTCTATAATATACCCTTTACCAGTGGGAACCAAATAAATGAATACAGTGAGAACAAATAGCTAACATAACATAAAACCATGGGGCCGGGGAGATTCCTCAGTAGTATAAGCGCTTCCCTGGCAAGCACAAGGGTCTGAGTTCAATCTCTAGTTTAAAAAAAAAAAACAAACCAAAATACCCAAACATCAAACCAAAACAAAACATAAAACCACCCAAAGAAAAAACACAACTTTACCTTTAAAAAGTCAATTCTTACCTAGAACATGTTGATGTAAAATGAGCATTGTTTTATTTTTTTATTCTTTGCTAACCTTTATTAGATTTATTCGCTTGAAGAGATTTAGTTTTCTTAAATGAAGGTAAATTATTACCTATGACCATTTGGTTTAATATCCCATAGTATATATATTATGAAGAAGATGGTGGGAGGAAAGATATTGGATCATCATCCTAAAATTATTTTTTTTTTAAGCGCTGTTTTATAAACATGCTCTAAACTGGTTTATCTTCAGCTTTGCAGTGCTAAGACAGTTCATTGCCAAAAACATAGCATATTTTAACCACAATATAGGACAGGAGGGAAACTGCTGTACAGGTTGGTAGCATTTTAGATATGGAATACTACTAATGCTTTTGATACATGAATTTTAATAATGCTGTTGTTTTGAATGTTACACTATGCGGTAAACCAAAGCCAGAAAAACTACTCACCTTGTGCAAGAACAGTGGCTAACTATTCCCATTTTCTATGGAAACTGCTGCCCGGTGATAATTGTTATATTCCCCCCAGGCTTATCACCTATTTCTCTGATGAGAAAGAACAAAGGCTCTTGAGTGAAGCACTTGTATCTGGTGACCAACTTTTCCTTGTAGGTTTGAGGTTGGGATTAGGAGTCTGCACAGTCATAGATGCGACATCCTATTTCTCACAGATTTGATAAGATTATGTTGAATTATAGCACACAAACAGTGCAGAAAGGTACTTGCAGTCAGTTTTTATTTATTCCTACTCTTCTAAAAAATCATGTATTTATTTATGTATTTGGTACAGGATCTTACTGTGCAGCTCGGACTCATAGTGATCCTCCTGTTTTCAGTCTCCCCAGCACTGGGATTACAGGTGTGCACCACGATGCCTGGTTTCATTGGCCAGCTGGGTGTGGGGCTGGCATGGCATGTGGTATAGGGGATCAAGCCAGGTCCTTGCTCTTGCCAGGTAGGTGCTTGGACTGCCAAGCTATCTCCTCAGCCCCTTATTTCTAAGCTTATAACTTATTAGGAACCTATTTAATGAATCTGTCCATACATCAAACATTACATTATTTGCTAAAATGAACAACTAAGACATTTTTGTATAGTAAGTTAAAAAGATCTCAGCATACACAAACACACATCTCACACACACACACACATACACACACACACACACACAGAAAATGAGTAAAATAACAAGAAGTTAAAATCATGAAGTTTGGAATAATTTCCACATCTCTTGGAATAGCTGTGATAATGTGCTTTCATAGTCAGAATGAATATTAGACTGTTTTACTTGACCTTGATTGCTGTAATAACAAAGGCTATCCTTTAGTTTGCTTCATATATTGATAATAAATCATTATCAAGATGATGCAACATTAATCAAATAAATCTTCCAATTTCATGTACATTGCTAAATTGGAAAGTAGAGTTCTTGCTCAACTATTGATGGGGTTCAGAACACACTACCACAAAATAGGGCACAATGCAAGAAAACAGAAGTGTGCTCATGCTTTTCACCATTCTCTCCATAATCAGGCCATAAAACTTAGCAAAGTCTCTCTTTAATCAACTCCCCTTTCTTTCCTGAAGACCCTCATGTCTCAATTGTCTGACCTGAGAGCTGGAAGGAGGAAGAAATGTCACACAGGGAGGTCAAGAAGAATTGGAGCATGAGCTCTTACTAAATTGTTTGTTTCTTAAAATCCAACCAGCCCCTTCATCCGCCAAGCATCTTTTGCACAACTGTTCATAGAAGGATACAGCATTTTCATTTCTTTGGGTCTTAATTTATGCAGCCTCCTATCTGAAACTTACATTAACCAAACATACACATTCCTCTTGTTAATCTGTCTTTTGTTATAGGGGTCGCAGTTCAAACCTAGTGATGGATCAGGAAAGATATTACTTTTCTCTCCTAAAGTGAAGTCCCAGTGATTGCAAAAAGTAACATTGACATTGTAGAGCCATGTTTATAAGGAGCACATTCAACATATGGCATGAGATACTAACCACCCTGGAGAACAAAGGATGTATTTAATTGTTTCATGAGTTGAAAGGAAGAGTGGAAACAGAATTTATTATTGTTTATGAAATAAACTTGGGTGAATCCTTTTAAGAACAGTTGATCTACATCAGACACAAACCTTAGAGGAAAAGAATCTTTAATTCTCACAGAGGAAGTTGCTTTTTCTTTTGTGACCTTCTGTGATTTGGTCAGTGTTTTGTGTCTTGCCGTTTTGCTTTTTCCTCTTGTGCAATCTATAATCCAAATCATATCTTCTGCCTTTCTGCCTCTGTGCTTGAAACCTTGGCTTTCTATTGAAAACAGTGCCCTAACATCTAAGCAAACTTCTGGAAGCAACCATACAAAAGGAGAAATAAAGTTATTCATTAACATGTTAAATGATGTTCCTAGTAATCTCAGGAATGAAGATGAAAGCCTGAAGAAGACAATATTTTTCCCTCTGTTGCAGAAAGACAGATGGATAGGTTCTTGGCTGGTGAGGTGGATGTGAATTCTGGATCTTGGGTGTGACTAGAGAAGGGGTTATTTTTATACTTTTAAAAATAATTTGGTATAACATACTAAGAATTGTAGAAGTGTTCAGAAGCATAGATATGATAATTCTACTCTAAAAAATTTATCCTAAAGAAAGGGAAAAAAACTCTATTCCTTAAAAACTTCAGCTCTACTAACATGTCTATAGCAAAAGAGAAATAACAAATAAAAAAGTAAATATTAATCAAATAAAGGCAGAGGCATCTGATCGACTATTTTGTTGTAATTAAAACAAAAAAAATACTTTCCAGTAGGTTTATTAGGTCTGTAAAATTCTATTTTCATATATATTGTTTAAATATAATTCTTTCATTTCTTTTCATGATAATAATTAAAGTAATTGGAGATTAATTTTTATCTCCCAGTTCATGGTCACCTTTTTGAAGAAAACTCATAACACTTTACCTATATCTCACTTTAGTAATTTATGCATTTTTTGCATTATTATTATCAGTCAGCTTGCAGTAGGTTAACAAGCTGTGAAATAATTTGGTTCTAGATTTTGCGAATGAGTACCAGAATTTATGAATTCTAGGCCTAGCAGTAGCAAGTGTTGTGACTAAAACTTTTAGACTCATCTACTCATTTCTCCTGCTCAGGAGGAATAGAGACTGCCACATGAGTAACCATCATTAGTCACGTGACTATTATCTAATTTAAAAACTAATCTTTATCTAATATTCTCATGTAGGAATTCTCCATTCATTCAGTGATCTTATCTCTTGCTATGAAATTGTTTTATCTACTGACAACATAGTAACCAATCACTGCATCTATGTTAATAAATTTAACCTTGAACACATTTTTCCTGATCTTTGCTATTAGAGATGGACGCCACATCCAAAAAGAAGCAACAATTTTTCCTAGAGTTTGAAACAGAGAGAACCGCATCGCTCACCTCAAGCATTCTTCTTGGTTCAAAACCCACAGATAACAGAAACCACAAAAGGATCTGGAAAAAGAAAAAAGAGAGAGGGGATCATGCTTCAAGTTCAAGTTTTCCCAAATGAGCACAGAGTAGTCTAGCTTGCTAGAGATCTAGCCCATTACGACTAGAGTTAGCAAGGAACCTTCTGATTAAAAACAAAAACAAACAAAAAAGAAAACCTTCACAACTGAAGAGTCAGAGGAACTTATTTCAAGCACTTGAGGCCCTGGCTGAGCTCAGGGTAAGGCTCCTCAGGAAATGCTGCCTTAGCACTCCTGAGGCTGTTGGTGCCTGCTGTCCACGGCACCGCGGCTGCTTGGAAGCTCTGAGTGTGTAGTGCTATTTTCAGGCAGGGGGACTCAATGGATTCCACATTATTTTTATTTTCATTTCTTCAATGCTAAGCACATATGGGTTTGCACTTTGCAAATGAACTTGTATGAACTGTGGCAATTTCATTCAGCAGCATGTTTAAAGGATTTCGTGAAAATAGAAATAGTTTAAGTGGAGGTGGCATATACAGGGTGAGGGTCCAAACCCCTTTTTATGGCCCATTTTCCTACCATTCTATTATTAAAAGTCTGGGCTAAAATTTTGAAATCAACCCACAGCTGGAATATATGGGTACTCAGAAAAGCATGTTTCTGAAAGCCTTTAAGAAATGAGAGGAAAGCAAAATACATAAAAATAAATTGAATATAATAAAACTAACATAGGTTTACATAATACATGCACTCAAAGAAACATTTCTGATTTATTCACAAGATTTAGGATATTTGTATAGAACAATTGTGATGAAACATCCTACTACTTGGAAATTGCAATAGTAGGTTGGGACTCAGGAAAAAATGAGTGGTTTCCCTTTCGCCCTTAACTCAGAATAACATTTGGTGCTCCAAGTTTCTTCCTCGTATATTCTTTATAGTCTGTGAGTCTTTTCAGTGACCCAGAGGACTCTCTCATACTACTCTGCTCTCTGTATTGCCATTTATTCCTTCATTTTACCTAAATATATAACATCGACTACTGTCATACATTGTTACAGGCACTGGGATTACCATGATAAATCAAACAGAGAAATAAAACATGAAGCTATTATATGCTACAATGAAAATAAAATAGAATGATGAGACAGAGTGTGACTAGAAGGCTAATTGAGACTAGGTCATTGGGAAAGGTCTCTTCGAGTGGTTACACGGAATAGAGATAATTGACAAGAGGCAATAGATACAGGAGGCTTTTGTAGAGGAATATTCCAGGCAGAAACAGCATAGCACTTGGGATCTAAGGTGGGAAAGAATGGGGATGGGTCAGGGAAGACAATGGAGTCAAGAACGTCTGAAGCATAGGACCAATTGGAAGATGAATTGGAAAAGGCAGACGGAACAGACCACTCAGGGCTTTTAGACCACATGTAGCATTTGAGAACTATTTTAAATGCAGCAGAGCACCTGGGAAGGCTTTACATAGATCCATTAAACCGATCTATACTTAGAAGGTCACTATCATTGTGAGACAAAAGGAAAGTGAGGAGAGAAGCTTTGAGGCTGTTTAACTTAGCCCAGGCAAAAGACGGTAGTATTTTGGCCCAGGAGGGTATGTTTTGAAGGGAGCTTCAGAAGAGCTTGGTGGTTTATTTGATGGAGTAAGAAAAAGAATAGAAGAATCAAGGAGGATAATATTAAATAGACTTACAACTCAGTAAAAATACCCCCAAGCTTTCAAAGCAAATGGAAAGCAGAAAAGTTCACTTGAAATTCCACTGGAGTGCACTGTGTTGCATGTAGGCATTACACCAGTGACCCAGAATAAGGTCCCTCCATCCCCCACTGAGGGAAGACCCATGAACAACATAAGCTTTCCCAGCAGTTTCCCAACTCGTGGGTGGCTCTGCAGCATAGCCAGGAGATCCACTGATGGAGAGCCACAGTTTCTTTGTGTGTGAAATAAGAAGTTTTAAATTAGATGTTCTTTAAGGTTGCTTCTACCCTGAGATTTCTGTGTCTTATATCCCATATGACTTTTGCCATATATAAGACATACATAATACACAAGTTACAGTAATAAAGAGGCTTCCGTGTTGGTTTTTTTTTAATGTATTCAATACAGGGTCTCACTATGTAGATCTCACTCATATTGATTCTCTTGTTTTTAGCATCCCAAGTACTGGGATTACAGGCGTGCACCACCATGCCTAGTCTTAATCCCTGTCTGAATGCTCCCTGGGGGTGGGACCAGTACGGCATGCCAGGGATCAAACCCTGGCTGCTATGTCTGCCTAAGCAGGCTCTTTAGTCAGCTGAGTTATCTGGCTGGCCCACATGTTTTATTCTTTTTCTTTTTTTGGCAGAACCGGGGATTGAACTCAGCCCATTGCATTTACTAGGGAAGCACTTATTCTACTGAGCCATCTCCCCGGCCCCTCGCATTTTTTATTCTTATCCTTAATTCTGGATTAAATTTTTTTTT